CTTATTGCGCTTATAAGCGTTATAAGGGTCGGCCGATCTGAATCGGCCGATCCTTATGAAGTATGGAGATGCCCTAACATGTCTCGGTCAAATTTTAGGGTTACACTGTCCTTTTAGTTGTATAGTTATGTCTCAAAGAAAGGAATAAGAAGAACTTTCAGCCTTATCAACAGTATTGTATCTCTTTTAGGTGAATATCGACGGTGTATACTACCCGGCAACGGCTGAGCGGATTTCCGAGGACGAAAAATCCTTGGAGGTACCTGTTTGTGCTCATTAAGAAGGCTTCTATTTTTTTCAACCTGTTTTGATAACAACCGCATCCTTTTTGCAGACGTCATACCCGGGGGATTGGCGTCCACGAGAGTCAGTGAGCTTCTCAAACTGTCGTGTTCTTCAAGCAATTGCTTCACATCCTATTCACAAAGGAGACGTCATTGAGGCGTTATTTCAACAGCAAAATGGCCAAACAGGATGGCAGAAAGCCTCTGTTCGTGAAATTAAGGTAGCTTGTCTAGTTTGGGAATGATTTATTCAGTTAAGGAAACATTTTGTTTTTTTCTTATTTTTCATTTTGGATGATGTATTATTTTACTTTCTCATGCTACTGAAAACGGATCTTGAGCATAAAGTGAGGAATAAGTGAATATACGAATATCCTGGATACATTTCATCTTCTCCCTACTTCCTAAACTCCAGTTTGTATGCAGAAAATGCTGAGAAATTCGTGAATTTGAATAGTTTGTTGCTTTATAATTATGCGCGCCTAACTAATTGCATCGCGTTTTGAACAAACAGTTCGCGAGAATGTAAACGTACATATACACTTTCGGCAATTTCAGGCGGATTTCATCGTTGTTGATTCCGTCGAAGGTCCGCAACATACCGACGTTGTGGCTGCTAATAAATGCCGTTCCAATGGTGCACAGTATTTGCGAATAACCCCTACTGACTTGAGAGTTGGCACAATTAGTAAGCTATGCTTTTTCCTGAAGTTTTCTTGATTCTCATTATTCAAGTAGGTCAACGGCTGAATGCTTGTGTTGAGTAGGTGGATATTAGCTTGCTGGATAGATGGAGCTGCTGTCAAATTCATATCATTGCATTACAAGTAAAATTATCAAATTTTACCATGAAGCAGTCAGGGGATTGTAGTAACGAACACCCAGGTAGAATGTCCATCTGCTTCTTATTTTTGGTGACATTGATGACCGTTATCTCCATAGTGGTGATGCTGGTAAAGATTCGATTTTTACGTATACCGCCATCTTTTTTTGCTTACTCTTATGTGCACAGGATCCGCTTAAGAAAGGGGTGAGTGATTCTCGTACGATTGGCGAATCGAAAATTCGACACAAACTCATCTTTGCTGTGTTTTAACCATTGACGACCGCGCATTATTTACAAACGCATGGGACCAACGCGCTTTTTCGTTGATTTCTCACTGACCATTGGCGTACTAGTTTTTTTGAAGGTAAATCTGTTCATCTGCTGATTACTAGGACCTTATGAAAGTTTAAGAAAGTGACACATACGATCAGAAGGGTGACACTGAATCATAGTCCGGAAACGCGTGACCAACCCATACATAGCGTTCTCGTCAATTACTTAAAGCGTCTCTTATTGCGATATCACTCTAAACTATGTATTTGAATTTATGCAACAGAACTTCATATTAAACATTGCAATAAAGGCATCAAATCGACATGTGCAGTTGAAAACAAATCGTGATGTTTGATTAATTATAGCCAAGAATTTTAACCTTGCGGCCATCCTTGCTGACGCGCAATTTCCACCAAACGTGCGATAAGGTGAACATCAGCCCTTCTAAGTGGAGGGGAACAAAAAAAGTCTACCTCTCTGAGTGAATCGAGTCGTTGACCGGAGGGGGAGGGGGGGAAAGGGGAGGGGGAAGAAGGCAAGTTCCGGTACCATTAGATGTTCTATGCAATGCTTGTTAGATTATCCATAAAGAAATAAGAGATTTATTAAAGGAGATTTATAAAAACGATCTTGTATGCCTATTTGCAGGTCCTTTGCTGAATACAGAGACACAAGATTGCGAATGATGATAAGTATACACCAATACTATATACTATTTAACAAAATGAATATGAAAATAAATTGTGCATAATTAGGCTGTCTCTACAGGAGAGTTGGGAGAATTGTGCTAAAGAATGGTTCTGACTAAGGTTATTTTTCTAGGATTGGAATCGTGCTGTTGTAGCTGTCGTCAGTTGCGGGAGTATAGACTAGAAGGAGGAGAATCTCCTCTTGCGAATGATATATAATATGTAGTACTTCACTACTTATTTTTCAAAAAATACCTAGAATTGTGTGTAAGCTAGCACTTGCCATGCAGCTGCGTTTAGAAAGCTCCTCTATAGCAGCCACTACAGATCGATTTGCGAGGTATCAGCAATATTAAAGCAACCTCAATAAAATGGCAAAACTCCAGAGTGATTCGATTTGATGTGGAAGAAATTCAGGCTTTCAAGTGGACCATGTCCCTTGGATAAAAACACTTGTAACTTTTCTCTTTGGAAACCAAGCAACGTCAGGAGCATATATAGAATTCTCGTATCGTCCGCTTTTGGAAAATACGTAACTTGTGAGCGGAAATAATTCATCCAATTCTGCGAGGGTGGGTGAATATTTGTACTGCGACATTCACGTCCTCCTATCGATATCATTTGATGTTTTTACGGTACCTGAATATTGCAGTACAAAAATGTTCGCCCATCCTTGCAA